GAGCCGTGGCCACCAGGCGCTCGTATTCGAGCCCCAACCCCGGGCCTGGCTCCAGGGTGGGGCCCCGGCTGCGCCATGCCCGGCGACATCACGGTCCTTGATTTTAATCTATTCATAAAGGGCTTTTGAACCACTCTTAGTCTGACCCATCACCCAGGACCTGTTTCCCTTGGGAGACCCTACCAGGGACATATAGCCCCCGACAACATAGCTCCTAGGATCACTCGGGTACTCAAACCCCTCTACCACAATAAGGTGGCGGTTCAAGGAGGGAAACATAAATATTTATAACATTCATAATTCAGCATATTCATAACAGTATCTGAAGATGCTGACTGAATGTAAATTTGGCAGTTGAATAATTGCAGTAGTTCACTCATTGTCTTTTTAAAAATTAAACAGTACCTTAAGAGTTACACTGCTATATTTGGGCAAATGCTAGTACTTAAAATTGCAAATGTGAATATGTATCCTCTTAGATGTGTCTACTTTGCCCTAATCATTCCATAACACTGACCCTGGTATTACATCTAATCACACTGGACAGCAGTGATGATGCAAATGCCAGTGAAGCTAAAACTGATTCTATTATCTCTTCCCCTCCCCTTTCTAATCCTGTACTCCTCTTTCCTGAGTTGTCTATATGTAGACAAGCCACTCAGTGATTGCTTAGACTGATAGAAGATATACAGAACAAATTAGTTTGAACAAAATAAATAAGCTGTAAGAAACAAGCACCCGCTCTCAATCAAGGCTCAAAGGTAAGAATTTTTACTGTTGTCATTAGGGGCCATGGAAATATTTGTATAACATGTATAGTACAGTCATCTGTGTCTTTGTTGTTATAATTTTTTGATTAATGTAAATTTTTGTTTTTTTTAAAACAAAGTGGTTTATGAAGCTACAGTTATAGATTATCCACAGTGCTTCTGTAAGAGTTTATTCTCTATGATGCTGCTAAACAGTAGTGGTCACTTTGTCTGCAACAAATTCACATTAAAATATTTTGCAGTGCTACATTATTGTCTGATTTACACATAAACCCATCTATATATGCTTAAATAATCATTACCTTAGTCAAATCATTTATGCATTTTATTGTATGGATGCTGATTCAGCATCCATACTATGTTTTCCAATTATTTATTTCTTTATTATTATTATTATTCCGTACGTTTTTTGGCACTTAACTACTTCAGCATACTTTCAGCTATTAAAATGTTCAGCTCTTCAAGGACATTCATACTACTATTCAGATCTTTTGAAAACTTCATACATTTTAAATATTCAGCTGTATTTTGAAAATCTTGCCCCATTCAAATGAATGGGAAACTTCTACTTCAGCAAACTTTCAGCTATTTCAGCTATCAAAATGTTCAGCTCTTCAAGGACATTCATACTACTATTCAGATCTTTTGAAAACTTCATACATTTTAAATATTCAGCTGTATTTTGAAAATCTTGCCCCATTCAAATGAATGGGAAACTTCTACTTCAGCAAACTTTCAGCTATTTCAGCTATCAAAATGTTCAGCTCTTCAAGGACATTCATACTACTATTCAGATCTTTTGAAAACTTCATACATTTTAAATATTCAGCTGTATTTTGAAAATCTTGCCCCATTCAAATGAATGGGAAACTTCTACTTCAGCAAACTTTCAGCTATTTCAGCTATCAAAATGTTCAGCTCTTCAAGGACATTCATACTACTATTCAGATCTTTTGAAAACTTCATACATTTTAAATATTCAGCTGTATTTTGAAAATCTTGCCCCATTCAAATGAATGGGAAAATTTTACTTCAGCAAACTTTCAGCAATCTTCCAGCTATCAAAATGTTCAGCTCTTCAAGGACATTCATACTACTATTCAGAAGTTTTCTAAACTTCATACATTTTAAATATTTAGCTTTTACTACTATTCAGAAGTTTTCTAAACTTCATACTTTTGACATATTTAGCTTTATTTTGAAAATCTTGCCCCATTCAAATGAATGGGAACTTCCATCTTCAGCTTACTTTCAGCTAGCAAAACCATTCAGGTGTCAAAATGTTCAGCATGTTCAGGGTGATTTTTCAGCACTCAGCATCCATATGCATTTTCTTTAGAAAATGCAATTTTCTAGTTATCAAATATATTTACTCAGATACCTTCGTGTCATTTCAAATGTAATGGTTTCAAAGTCCAGTTTCTGCATTTGAATTAATCAGTTCAAACCAGCAATGCAAGAAATGTATCACTTCATGTTAGCATGAAGGAATCAGCTGCCTCAGAATATTTGTCATTATCAGGTTTATGGCTGACGTAGTGTTGATCGGGGCCTTGTTGTCACTGACAACTCAACTACATCAGCAAACTAGCTTTCAGTGTGGCCTTTACCAGCATGTCCACAAGAGATGTGGTTTCCTCAACACTGCATTGCTTGATATTAGGAGTACCAGTGCATAATCTGCACCAAACCCCAACAGAGTAACTGCCGTTGCTTTATTTATGATTTAATTAAAGCACACATATTACATTTTGGCTGCTTTGAAAAAATGGGCCATGTTTAGAAAGGAACCCAGAAATGTGATGATTTGATATTACAGAACTACATTCAACAGCTGTTTAACTGAGTCTGTCAATAGAGACAAAGTTAAAAATCACAAGAGAATAAAACTGAATTAAAGGTTTAGCTATCACATTACGTCACATCACACTACATGCAAACATAATGAGCCATCCCAGGCACGTGTGTATGCCAGACATCTCGCAAACTCTGCATAATCTGATAAGTATATTTCAGCCTGGCTCACAGTAAGTGGCTGTGACAGCACTGTGTTCCACTGCATGGACACATACAAAACATTGCAGATAGGTTTATATGTGTCCCAGTGTTCAGTGCTGCTGTTAGTTTGGAGGGGACAGAGGCAGAGCTGGGTATATTTTGTTGTTCAGTGGTGTATTTAGATTTTGGCAATATGTGTACCATTTTATGTCAAATTAGGAAATCAGTATAGGTCTGTATCGAACGGACAACACAGTTTTAATTGGATAACACTATCAACATCCAACAACAACAAGATTTGATCTCAGTCCTTAATATAAATTTTAATTTTGCACACTTGTTCCACATGAAACATAAATGATGCATACTGTATATGGTATCATGTAGCTGAGATGGAAGATTATAACATAAATTCCTGTCAGAGAGGCGCATACAAGAATGTGATCAGGTAAGTGATGAATTCCCACACACGCTCAGCACATAATTTGCTAAAGAAGCAACACATTGCCACTAAATCTTCAGTAGGCATTAAGAGTTTGAGTTAAGATATACTTGTAATGTGGCTTCCATCAGGCACATCTCAGCTGCCCTGTAGCTGGTAAGGTGAGTAAGTCTGTGTGCTCTGTGTATTACAGGCTACTTGTAGGATGTCTGGCACTACTCGGGATGATGAGGAGTTGCCTGTCAATCACACAGGTCAGACATCAACTAGAAAGATGAAGTAGACTAAGTATTTTTAAAGTATTACTAAGTATTTTGGACTTTTGGTAAACCATTACAAACCAAAGAATGTAGTGTCTACACAAAGTGTGAAGCTTTTATTAATGTAAGTGCTGCTTCAACTGTATGTTATATTTAAGAGTGTCTTTATTATTTGTTTGTGTGTGTACAGGTCCAAAAGGTGTAATTAATGACTGGCGAAGGTTTAAGTTGGACAGTGTGGATCAGAGTGTCCCTCAAAACAAGCGGGAGTTGCTCAGACAAATGTCCAGTCCTCGAGAAGATGACAAGGAAAGACTCAACAGAAAGGTGGAGGGAAACAATTACAGAATCTCACACAGAGGAGAACATGTACAGATTTTATAGTTAAGGACAGGATTGCAATAGACTTGACCATAATTGCACAGATATGTGCCATTAACAACAACAAAAAAGCTATGTACACACAGAGGAAGAACATTGAACTGGGACATTCATACACAGATAGTATATGAAAAAAACATACAACAACAATCTACTGTGTCTTGAGAAAAACAGCAAACAAGTAACACAGTATTCTTCTCTCCTCTAGATGAAAGTTCAGGAGTATGAACTGATCCAAGACGAGGATGAACATTGCCTGAAACGCTACAGAAAACAGCGTATGCAGGAAATGCGTGAGCGCTTAAGCTTTGGTCCCAAATTTGAAGTCGTCCATGAGCTTGAGAGTGGAGAAGATTTCCTGGAGGTCATAGAGAAGGAACATCAGTTAACCCTAGTAGTAGTTCACATCTACCAGCACGGTGTCCAAGGTCAGGTGTTTTTCATATCACGTGTGTGTAATTCTTAACTCATGAAGTCATTACATTTGTCTCATTACTCAACTAACATATACAACAAGTAGTCCAGGAATATGTATTACTGTAGTATGGTTCACTAAATCAAATCAAATCAAATCAAATTTTATTTGTATAGCGCCAAATCACAACAAAAGTCATCTCAGGACACTTTACAAAGTAAGGTCTAGACCTTACTGTTATCAATATTATTACATAGGGAAAACCCAACAAATCCCCCTTGAGCAAGCACTTGGCGACAGTGGGGAGGAAAAACTCCCTTTAACGGAAGAAACCTCCGACAGACCCCGGCTCTTGGTGGGCGGCCTTCTGCCTCGACCGGTTGGGGTGAGTGGATAGAGGAGAGACAAAAGAAAAAAAGCAACAAGACACAACAATCAAACACTGATCAGGTCGATGTGGCCGGTGACTGCT